GGCTTGCTATTAAACGAGTTCATGATTAAAAGCTTTAACACATGTAAAACACTTCAAACAGTGCCTGTCACATAAAAAGGAATCAACAAAATTTTTTTTTTAAAAACCATGCTGAGGCCAACAATAACAATCATACATAAACGCATCTTCCCTAGTAGTATCTATAGTTACTCACACTCCTTAAGTATTAAATCTTATGCATCGCATTAGACTTTGAGTTCTCTGAGGCAGGGAACATCTCTGTAACCACTCCCAGCAGCTAACTTAGGCCTAGAACACAGTGGACGTTGAGCAAATGCTGAAGGAATGAGCAAAGGTTTCTCTCCATTCTCCCCACCACCCATCTCATCTACCACCACATCCAGTGGCCCATGTGGCTGGCAAATGTGCATCCAGAATAAAACGCCGCCAGCATCCTTCCCCATCTCCTGGTCTTGCAGACACAGAACAAACAGCTTTTGGCAGATGTCAAAACGGGCTTCGTGGAAACCAGTCCTAGGTTTTGCCCACCCCAGGCTCTTCTGTTGGAACCCTGCGTGCCCTGTGGCTGCTAGACAGAGGCCTTCTTCATGTTCTCCTGGTGATTTGACCAGGCCCACATGCCAGGCCTCCTTGGGGACGGAAATCAACTCAAATGTCCCTTTCTTCTAAAATGGACGGGGAGATGGGTCACCAAAATCTCAAAAAGAATCAGATATTGCTAAAGGTGGTACCTTCCCAGTCTCATCTCCCTCAATGCCCTGTTGGGCAAAATGAAAAGAGACATACTCAGGGCTCCACATTTTAAGAAAAATTCCTAAAGCTCTCAAAGACATGGGAAGAATAAAGTGCAAAACAAATCAATCTAGACAGTAACTCTAAGTAACTATACTTTGAAATAGTTTTAACCTGAATGTTAAAGAGTGGTAGAGACCGAGAAAAAATTTCCAGATGTTTAATAACCCCCCAAAACACATTCCTCAGGGTCTAACTTGAATCCCTCTTGCAGTGCTGTCATCCTGTTCGCCACCCAGAGAATAGGTACTGGCACCCATCCATGAAACGGCTCCCGCTCCCCTTGAAGATAGCTATATGCACCTCCAATCTAGCATGGGACCCAGCACACCAGGCACCGGGTATGTGTTTGTTGAATCAATGTCAGTTAGTCTACCGGAAGTCAAGCTGGTGGCTGGGATAGACTGGTTGAGAAACACTTGGAGAAAGACTAAGGGTAGCCCAATTATCAACAGAAAAGTATTACTTTAGCAGTTCTGCCAATTAAACCAAAGTGAGTCTGCTGAGTAAGGCCCCTACATCTGAGCTGTTTTTGGAGACATTTCATGATTCACACCCAAGTCATACAAGATTAAAGGAAATACTGGATAAAATCAAGCCAAACATTAAGTTCAGGGGGAAGACTTTATTGGACAAATTAGAAAAATATTGGTATTGTGCCTCAGAGAAACCCACCTCTGTCCTCTGGCTGCAGGGGCAGAAACAATCTCGGTGGCAGATGGGGAGGGAATATGAGTTGTTTTAAGGGAGCTTGATCCATCCTGTCGCACTGGCCACAACCCCACACTCACACCCAACGTGCTAATCTGGTAGCCGTGGCCAAAACCGAGGGGAACATGCATTTATAATACGGATTTGATTATGTGGCTGGGCTTGGGAGAAGGCGAGGCAGGTTTGAATGAGGATTCCCTGCCCGAACCCTCAGCGAGCCAAGGAGCTGCTGGCAGCTGGCTGTCCTTAGCCACGCATGAGGGCTCTGACCAGGCTGGAGCATGTCTGGGGCAGACAGGTTTCCAGGGGAAGCTCCCAAACTATATGATCCCGAAGGACTGGCTTTGGAGAGCCCTTCATTTATTCATCTCTGGGGTCCCTACTATGTGCCGAGCAGGCTGGTGGTGAGGGAGAAGAAGGGAGAAAGCTTTCTGCTTTTGTTGTTCAGGTGAACAACACAGAGATGAACAAAACTGTACATGCCAGAGCCAGGAGTAGTGCACCCATGAAGACTGGCTGTTAACTACTATTCTTCAGTTACTGCAGCTACTAGTATTATTCTTATTGCTGCCTTAAAAACAAACAACAAAACTTTGGTTTTCTTACATGGTAAAGCCTTATATTATAGAACCTTATAGTACAGAGTACAGTTGTCTGTCTTCTAGACCAGAGTTGGCCAAGAAAACTGATAATGTGTGTGTGTTGTGTGTGTGTGTGTGTGTGTGTGTGTGTG